GGAAAACCTCAGAATATAATAATGCAGGCTGCAGCTGAGGAGGAAAGGAGATCAGTGGGATCAGAGAGGCTTCTGCGAACAGGTAAGCTATATGAGCAGCCTAGGAAAACCAGAGTTAGATGTGGGTGCCACAGTTGGCGCAGGACCTAGGGTCACTTTCCACCCCACTCCCAGGAGACAAGGCTAGAAGCAAGGGCAACACCATACCCTCTGCTAGGACTCTCTTCACCCCTTCTTTCCCAGTTAAATCCTCATCCCAAAACTCTACTCTGGCTTGAGATCATCCCAGGCTGGACCCAGGGTCCTCATTCAGCATGCCTCCTGAACACCTCTGTTGTGGTCCTTGTTCACCATCTTGGTACACTGAGCTCACTCCTCTGTCTTGCCAGAGGACAGCCTCTGAGAGAGCTACCATGTCTAGTTCACCTTTGCATTCCTGGTGCCTAGCCCAATGCCCAGCGCACAGCAGGTGCTTAATAAATACTTGTTGAATAATCACATGTGCTTTGTAATAAGACACATTTAAGATTTGAAAGCTGACTATACACAATAAGATCCTAGGGGTGAGTTACATCATCTTGTCAAGCCTCAATTTCCTCATCTATTAGAAGGGAACAACATTGGTGTCCCAAGGAAGTTTTCAGGATCAAATTAAAATGAGATGTATGTATAGTGCTTACTCACAGTGCCTGGCAGAACGTGGGTGCTCAAATCCTTCCTGCTTATTGCTACTGCACACCAGCAGCAGGAGGGTGAGAAGGGCTGTCTTCCCTCCCTTTCTGCTCCTCAGCTTTTTTGTGTGTTTTGAAAGGAAAATCAGGAGCTCTGGTGGTGCTGTGGTTAAAGCGTTGGGCTGCTAACCAAAGGTCAGCAGTTTGAACCCACAAGCTACTCCAGAGGAGAAAAATGCTTCCATAAAGATTTACAGCCTTGGAAACACTATGGGGCAGTCCTATTCTGCCCTATAGGGTCACTATGAGTTGGATCTACTCACTGACAGTGGGTTTGGTTAAAGGAGAATCAGGGGAGCGGGGAGTAGACAAGTGTGGTGCTCCAGTAATGGAGGAGGTGCTGGGTTAGCCAGGCAACAACATGGGAGAAGCCTGTGTGCAGATGTCCGTTCTAGAGGGAACAGAAAATAGAATTTCCCAGCAGATCAGAGTCCAGCCTGAACCAATTTATTAAAGTTCACTTACAGAACAACAATTATATAACTTCACAACCCCGAGAGAGGTCAGGGGCATACAAGGGTGCAGGAGGCACGGTGCCTGGTTTACATCTCAGGGCTTGCCTCCTGCCTATGGAGCAGTTCTACTCTGCACACATGGGGGTCACCATGAGTCAGAATCAACTAGACAGCAACAGGTTTGGTTTTGGTGTCCCTATGACCACTTTAGGAGCACTGGTGGCAAAGTGCCTAGGGCATTTGACTGCTAACTAGAAGGCTGGTAGTTCAAACTCACCAGCCACTCCTCAGAAGGAAGACTGGGCAATCTACTTCCATAGAGATACCACCTCAGAAACCCAAGGAGGGGTCACTATCTGTTGGAACCGACTTGACAGCAGTGAGAGTTTTTGTGTGTGACCACTTTAGGGGTGCTGGTGGTGTCCAGGTTAAAGCACTTGGGTGCTAATCAACAGGTCGGTGGTTTGAATCCACCAGCTGCTCCACAGAAGAAAGCTGTAGCAGTCTGCTTCCATAAAGATTACAGCCTTGGAAACCCTATGAGGCAGTTCTACTCTGTCCGCAGGATCGCTACTGACTTGATGACAGTAGGTTTGGTTTTTGGCTTAGTTGGCCAATTTAACTTCCCTGTGCTTCAGTTTCTCTATCTGAAAATATAAGGTCACTGTAAGGAGAACCTGAAATAATACAGGTAAAGCACTCAGCAAGTTGCCTTGCTCAATACCAAAGCCAATGCCAATTAGTCGATCTGCGGACTTACTCACTTTTGTGAGACGTGTCCACACACATCCTGTCTAATATATCTACTTTACTTGAGCCTCACTAAATTCTCATTTTGCAGATGAGGAAAAGGAGGCAAAAGGTAGGTTAAAAGACTTGGGTTAATGGCAATGCTAGATGGCAAAACCAACCCATGCACTCTCTCAAAAAATGCAGATAACAACATCCATCATGCTCAGCACACAGTAGGTGCTCCATAAATGCTAACTTCTACTGTGGGTTCTTCTTCAAGGTAAGAAGAGGCTAGGGATGTCATCAAAAACTTGGCAGAGCAACCTCATGAGAACTAGGGTACAAGATGTTTCCGAAAACAGGAAAGAGGGTGGTCTGAGGCTAGCGGGGGCGCTTTTAAGTCAGTATCTGCTGCCTGCTTAAACTCACTCAGTATGATAGCAGTGTGGGCAGGGAAGGCAGCACCTGATGGAACTGGGAGTATTTCTAAGGAGAGGTGTGTTAACTGCCTTTCTCACGCAGTTGAAAGTGCACACACAATTTCCAGTGTAAGAAAAACCCCAACCCAGACTGCACCCCTCTTCCAACTATCCTTCACACCACCCCACCCCCATCTCAGGAATTCTTCTAGCTTCAGGACTCCTTTATGATTATGATGTGGTTCAGAATCAGCTAACACACAGAACCTCTGGTGGAAAATGCCCAAGCAGCCAGATGGGAAAGAAAGATTTTTTGAGTTTTCACTTTTCCTTAAGTCAATTTCCTGAGGCAGCACCCCGAGTCACAGATCAGAAAGCAGAGCAAAAAAGCAGATTTCTGTAGATGAAAATTGATGCTAGCAAAATGCTCCCAATGGCTGCTTTTCATTTCTTGGTTTTTTCCTATGAAGTAAGGGGAGTCACCTGGAGTTGAGGTTAGTTTCAGAGTTTTTTGGAAAGGAACAGGGATGGTGTTGACCTTGTTTGTGAACTCGTCCATAATGACCTCCAAATCACACTGTCCTGACTTCAAAAATCTTTTTCTAAAAGTCATCTGCCCACTTTCAGAGGATAACCGTTTTCAGATTTAGCAGAACCTCAAAATAAGAGATATTTTCTTTGTTCAAACACCTTACGGAAGCCGTCTAGCCTCCAAAGCTGCTACCACCAGCTGCACCCGGCTGCCTAACCCCTCAACTCCCTCCCCCCTTTTCCCTTCTCCTCGTGTTTTGAAGTTTATTTTCCCACATTTAGCCTTGAATTCTTTCCTTCCTTCCCCTGCAGTGGTGGAGAAGCAGCAAGAGGGAAACACTTCGAGGGCAGCTCAAGGCTTTATCATCTCTGCCTGGCCTCTTCCCCCTCTAAACAAAGCCCTGGAGCAAACTAAACAAAAACTTGTTCTCCAGAGGAATTGTTTCCTCAAGGGAAACTATAAAGTGACCCCTCCTCCCAACCCATGCATTGCAACTGGGTTAGAAAGAAACTTCATCATCTCCTGCTATTAGATAGTAAACCAACTTTCTGCCTTTCCAAGCTCATCCTCCCCACCATCACCTCCCACTTGCCCACACAATGGAAAGTCCTACAGGACAAGAGACTCTCCCCAACCTGGTCTAGATCTCTCTTCACTGGTCTCCTATGAGGACAAGTCTCTACACGCATGGCTATTGGTGGGCAACTATATGCTCATCTGTGTGAATGTCTCAAGACATAAAGGGGTTCAAAAGTTTGATCATTTTAGTCTACCCAGAAGCACCTCAAAAGAAAGACCTGGTGATCTACTTCCAAAAATCTCAGCCATTAAAAACCCTATGAAGTACAGCTCTACTCGGACACAATGGGCGTAGTCATGAGTGGGAATCCATTTAACTGACAACCAGTTTTTACTGGCAAGACATCATCGTGTCTTCTAAATGCTTCCACAACAGTCCAGGACAGGAAAGTGTAAAGAACATAGCTTAATTCCCATTTTACATATGGGGAAACTGAGGCTGGAAAAATGAGGTACAACTAGATAAAGCAAAAGGCAGCTGATGTAGATTAAATGTTATTTCTCATCCCTTCTTCCTGATACCTTTCATCCCACGAAAAATGTAAGACTTTGGACAACCTACCCCGACTCCACTCTACAATCTAGAGTCCTCACTGGGTGTCACCCAGATCTTGGTCATTCCATTGAGAAGAGGACACTAGAGTGGGTTGAGAAGCAAGAGTGGATGGTTGTGCCACTAAGACCCCTGGAGAAACTGGGTGAAGGCCTAGTCCCCAAACTGGCAGAGTGTGAGCCAAAAGGTCAGCCCACAGCTTATCAGAGTGAGGTCAATGCCACTGATAGGGCGTGCACCCAGAGGACAGCCAATTCCAACAAGGACCAGAAACTCCCCCATCACCTCCCATTCCACCCACCTTTCTCCCCAACTCAAGAAAAGTCCGTTTGTTTAACTCGCTACTTGCACAAAGTTTAACTCCAAGCGGGGATGTCTCTGCAAGATAAGCCTTCTCAGAAACTTGAGCGCGCACCCAGCATTCCACCAATCCTCCAGCCATAGGCTCAGTCGGACCCTCCCCCCGTTCTAAGCTCTTTAGGAGCACAGGGCTTTGCGCAGGCTTGGGTTGGGAGACCCTCCTGCAGCTCCTCCGGGTCACGTTCCAGAGGAAGAGCAGCGCGGGCGCGGCGCTGTCCCAGGAGCGGCGAGGTGGAGACGCGAGGGGGTGGCAACCGGCTAAGCTCCCGGACTCCGGGAGCGTCTCCAAGGATAGATAAACGCTTTTATCCTCCCCACAACCTCCCTCCAAGTAGGGAGGTACCCGTACAACCACACCAAGCAACCGCGAGGGCTGCGCTCAGTTGACTGAGGTCAACCCCAAATTCTGTCCCCACAAGTTGGGCTCCAATGAGTCTCCATGCACGGAGACCCCCGTGTATCCGAAAGATGGGCAGAGATCCCTGCAGTCTGACTCAAGTTGGGACATGCTCTTCCCGTCACCCCAGGGCCTTCTACCTGGTCTGATGGCCATCAAAAGCTGAGGGGAGCTTCCCTTCAGCACCCCTAAACTTCAGCAAACCTCAGGTAAGTGCATATGGGTTACAGGCGGCGGCTCACCTGCAGGATCTTGTCCAGGCCCTCCTGGCCCAGGCACGGGAACTCCTTGAGAAGCTGCAGTTTCTGCGTGTAGTAATTCTTCTTGGCCTCCTTCCAGTGAGGCTCCTCGAGCACCTCGAAGATCGCCGCCCCGATGGACAGGTAGAAAATGATGGCCGAGGTAAGCAGAGGGCCCCGGTCTACCATGGCTCTCGAGTGGCCACAGCCTGAAGAAAGCCTTCCAGAGCCCCTACGGCTCTAGGTCCGCCCACCCTTTCAGCCTCTGGAAACAGCTGTTTGAATTTGGAGCTCCGCATGCGCAGTGCCCCGTCCCGAAACGCCGCTTCTGAACGGAGTTGCTCGGGTAAGTTGGCACACTGAACGCGTGTAGGTGCGCGGAGCCCAGCTAACGTGGGCCGGGGTAAGAAGACACGAAGGGGATCGAGAGGGCACCTTGGGTCCCCGGAGCGCAAGGAGTAGGGGAAACCCAGAACTCAACTCTAGAAGGACACGTGGGCCGTTCCTCCGCGCGCCACTATCCGTCTGCGTTGCGCCCGCCTCCACGCGCCTCTTTAACCAGCGCTCTTTGCCCGCCCGCTACAGACTATGGCGGAGGCGGGGCCCACGCAGGCCCCGCCCCGCCAGGGTCCGCCGGCAAGTCACCGCGAGGTGAGCGCTGAAAGGAGCCAGGCGCTCTCTGCGCTTCTGTAGGCAACCGCCAGGGGAGGCTGCGCGCCCAGCCCCGACCTCCCCGCCCGCAATGCATAAGGGGGGCTGCGGTTTCTGGGACTCGGTTGTTATTAGTGTTGGTGTACTAACAAAAATGGTTGTGTACCTTGTAACTGAGGTCAGGAATTTATTTCCATCATTTTTATTGTAGTTCAATTTTCATTTACTGATGTTTCTTCCAAAAAGTGTTGATTCTGTTTCTTTCTGCCTCTCTCTCACACACCTCTGACACACCTTTGTATGAACCTGATGCATGAAAACCCACTGCCATGCAGTCCATTCCGACTTGACCCTGTAGGACAGGGTAGAACTGCCCTATGGTTGTAATCTTCACGGAAGCAGACTGCCATATCTTTCGCCTGCGGATCGGCTGGTGGTTCAAACCACCAAACTTTTGGTTAGCAGCCAAGCACTAAACCTGAGATGGAAGGATGTGAAAAGGGATTGGAGAAGTTGTAGGGAATCAGAGGATGTATTAGGAACTAATTCAACCACGGACTCCTGGCTCCTCCCATTCTAACTGCCCTGGTGAGACCCCAGCCTCTGGAAGGTGCAGTGAGGGCCAGCACTGTCTGTGACTCCTCCCTTACACACAAACACACTTTGTAGCTGTACAGGAAACACTTGATCTCTTTCATACTCCCAAGACTATTTAAAATTGCATCTTCCACCTACTCACACAAACACTCCTTATTCCCCTTATTGACTTTATTTTCTTCCTGGCACTAAATTCCTTCTAAAACCAAAAAATCCAAACCCACTGCTGTCGCGTTCAGACTCATAGCAACCTTCATTGGCTTTCCAAGGTGGTAAATCTTTACCAAAAGTAGATTGCCCAGTCTTGCTCCCACCGAGTGGCTGGTGGGTTTGAACCACCAACATTCTGGTTAGCAGTCAGATGCCTTAGGCACTGTGCTACCAGAGCAAACTCACTGCTACCAAATTAATTCCTACTCATTGGATTTTCAAGCAGACTGCCTCATCTTTCTTCCCAGAGCAGCTGGTGAGTTCGAACCACCAACCTTTTGATTAGCAGCCAAATGCCTTAACCACCACACCACCAGAGGTCCTTAACTGTATTTATTTTGTTAACTGTTCTACACACTACACATACATACACACATACACAGCTGAGGAACTTGGGGGGGTGCTCTGTTTCGTTCACTGATGTCCCCACAGTGCCTGGTTACTCAATATAACATCTGTGCAGTAAATGAATGAATGAATTTGTCAAAAACACATCTCTTCTCCCAGGATATTTCTCAGTCACCTCATCTTGGAAACTAACAACAACCAACACTTGAAATGCAGAAGAAACAAAGGTAAGTGTCATTCTTTTGTGGTTAGCACTTGAGAGCCTGACCTTGAGGAAGCAACTGACCTGCTCTGCCAAGTTCTCATGATGGAACCCCTGTTAAGTCTAGTTATCATTGCTACCAAGGTGAGCCTCAAATCCAAATTAAAGCTGATTACCTTTCACAAGATGGCACTCTGAAGTAATTATTAGCCATAACAACAAATACAATAATCAGAAATAAGATAGGCCATAAGATTGGCTTTATCACCAGTGGAAAAAAATTATATACCCTCAGGACTCAATATACCTACTTTTTCCTATTTCATCCTTGAGCTCATGTTGTCTAAACAGTAATTAGTTTCAATTCTTCCTGTATTTTAAAATGTCCCCACTGGCTGCTGTGCAGAGAATGGGGGTAGTGCATGTTGGCATGTGGGCCCCTGATCTTCACTGAAAATTGTTGATCCAAATGTGTCTTTGGGAACAGTAGGTTGGAAGAGAGGAGAAGAATGAGGGAGGAGAAGCAAGTTTAACTTGGATGGAGACAGAGGAGAGAGAGAGGTAGGAGCAGGAGGAATAGAGAGTGAGGTAACGGGGTTTGGAAACATATGGAAAGGGAAGGCAAGGGCGTAGGGGCAGTGGTAGTTCACTGGTAGAATTCTTGCCTTCCATGGGGAGACCTGGGCTTGATTCAAACCCAATCCATCTCAAGCACCAGCCACTGTTATTGGAGGCTTGTGTGTTGCTATGATACCAAACAGGTTTCATTGGACTTTCCAGACTAAGAGAGATTAGGAAGAAAGACCTGATGATCTAATTCTGAAAATCAGCCAGTGAAAACCCTGTGGATCACAAGGGTCTGATCTATAACCAATCATGGGCATGACACAGGACCAGGCAGTATTTTGTTCATGGGGTCTCCGTGAGTCTAGGTCATCTGGATTGCATCTAACAAGAACAACAAGGAAAAGGTCAACAGAGAGTAAGGACAACGAGAGAGCAAGAAAAAGAATAGGGTAGGGAGACAGAGAAATAATAGCTAAGTGGAAGGATACAGAAACTAGAAATTATTAAAAAAAATATATATATCCCAAAGTATTTTGCAGAGTTTTGGAGAGGCAGTGAAGCCGAAATAGGAAGAGGCCCTTTATTTTCTTAGGAAGAGTACACAGACAGGAGGTGGGAGAGGAATGGCAGGGAATTTTCCAAATAAAGAGAGAGCCTGTGGCCTTTCAAATTGCCCCCACCACATGCTGGGCGGGTGATCTGTTCACACCACAGTGCCTGACTTTCTCAAAATGGATATGAGCCCTACTCAGAGAGAAGACCTGGGAGAGAAGTCTGGGGAATGTCACCACACCAGCTGAGGGATGGAGGGAAGGGCTGCAGAGTTGGGGTTCTGGCCACAGCCTGTGGTGTAAGTTGGGTAGGAGAATGGCAAGAGTTAAGAGAAGAGAAGACTGTCTGGGGAGAAAGGATATAGTACAGCCTGGGGTTTATAGGTTCATGTACTCAATGTATAGGAGCTCTGATAGCATAGTGCCTAAGGCACTTGACTGCTAACCAGAAGGCTAGTTGAAACCCACCAGCCACGCCTTGGAAGGAAGGAAGGTTGGGCAATCTACTTCCATAGTGATATCGCCTTGGAAACCGAAGGAGGGGTCGCTATGAGCTGAATCTGACTCGACAACAGTGAGTTTGGTGTGGGTTTTTCCTCTGAAACTCATGTCTGAGCACACAAAAAAAAAACAAAAAACTATCGCTATTGAGTTGATTCCGACTCATAGTGACCCCCATTGGGTTTCCAAGTCTGAAACTCTTTATGGAAGGAGATTGCCCCATCTTCCTCCTATGGAGCAGCGAGTGAGCTTGAACCACTGACCTTCTGGTTAGCAACCAAATGCCTTACCCATTATGCCACCAGAGCACAGGAGGCATGTAAAAAAACATCGAGATGAACATAATTAATGTCACTTATTTGTACATGTAAGAAAATGTTGATTTGACATGGCAAATGTTTGTTACATGTATTATTGCCTCAATTAAAAAAAAAAGCATCAGGAGCATAATTTAGTTCAACATCACAATTACTTGAAAGCCTTATTTCCTTAAATTAAAAAAAAAAGCTTTATAACTCTTAACTCAAAAAATCTAAAAGGTTTTATTTTTGTTCTTGTTGTATTGCTTGAAAGACAGACAATATTAAATGCCTCATGGAATATCTTGCCTTATGAAACAGATGATCAATTAGTTTATTTTAATTATTTTATTTTAACTTGCTCTATTTCTAATGACTCATTTGAGAACATGAGGGACATACCTACTAAGTTCTCATGTATACAAATCCTCTACCTTATTATGTTGGAGTATTTTCTGAGTGGTAAATTCAATCCACATGATAAGGTAACCTTCATGTTTTATGCCAAAACCAAAACCATTCTCACTGCCATCGAGTCGATTCCAACTCATAGTGACCCTATTGGGTTTCCAAGACTGTAAATCTTTACGGAAACTGACTGCTTCATATTTCTTCTGCAGAGCAACTGGTGGGTTTGAACCACCAAACTTTTGGTTATCAGCAAAATGCCTTAAGCACTAAACCACCAGAACTCCTTATGTTTTGTGCCAGGAAAAGCAAAATAAAATTACAGAATATTAATTCATAAGGTTGTAGTCAACCCACTGCTGTTGAATTAATCGTAGCAACTGCCTTGGGTTCCCAAGGCTTTAAATCTTTAAGGAAGCTGATTGCCTCATCTTTCTTCCATAGAGCAGTTGGTGGGTTTGAATCACTGACCTTTCTTAGTAGCCAAATGCTTTAACTGCTATGCCACCAGAGTTCCTTAAGATTGTAGTAAAAGATGTAGTAAAAAATTCCAAAAAAAAAACCCAATCTCACTGCCATCGAGTTGGATCTGACTCAGCAACCCCTCCTTGGGTTACCAAGGCAGTATCACTATGGAAATAGATTGCCTAACCTTCCTTCCAAGAAGTGGCTGGTGGGTTTGAACCTTGAGCCTTCTGATTAGCAGTCAAATGTCTTAGGTACTATGCTACCAGCTCCCAGTAAAAAATCAGAACTTGTAAATTTAACTTAAGTTATTTGAAATTCTCTTGACATTGTGGCTATGTGACAATAATTAGGTTGAGTTACTTTGGCAAGGTTTCAGTTATTCTTAACATGGAAGCTACATGTCCTTTGTCCTGAGTATCAGTTAAGCAATCAAAAAATATGCCTTCCAGAAGGGCTGTTTAAAGACAGAAAATAACAAATGCTGGCAAGGATGTGAAGAGATTGGGACTCTAATACACTGCTGGT